AAAAAAAAAAAAAAAAAAAAAAGAATGTACATGCTATACTACTATTTGTGCAAAAGATGAGGGTAAGAAAACTTATATATATATATATATTTGCTTGTACATACATAAAATCTTTGGAAGGATATAAAGAAACTGCTAACATCTGTTGCCTTCAGAGAGGAGAGCAGGGTGCTTGGTGGGAGAGCGGTGGAAAGGAAACTCTTCACTGCATACCCTTTATACCTTTAAAATTTTGAACCATGTAAATGGATTATCCGTTAAAAAGTTAAAAAATATATATGCAAAAGAAGCCAAACACAAAAGTGTATAAATTGAATGATTCTATTTACATGACATTAAAGAAACAAGCAAAATTAATCAATGGTAATAGAAATCATAACAGCAGTTACTTCTGGAAGAAGTGAATTTACTAGAAAAGGGCATGAAGGAACTGCATAGGGTGAGAACAGTGTTCTGTAAGGTTACATGAGTGTATACATTTGTCAAAACTCATCAACTACACTTAAGATCTGTGCATTTTACTCTAAGTAAATTACACTTCAAAGAAAAAATAACATATATACAATAAAAAAAAAGTGTGGGAGTATATACTTTGAAGTGTTAATGGTAATTATCTTTAAGTGGTAAGATTACAAGTGATATTTTTGTTTATCTGCAATTTTTGGCTTTTCTAAAACTAACATGTATTACTTATACATGGGGTTAAGTGAAACCCCACCATCCTGCTTCTTCTCAGACCCCTTAAACAGACTTCTACTTCAACCAGAAAAGGCCTTGCTGTGCCAAGCTGAAACCCAGCTAAAAATCAGCTCACCACACAGAGCCGTCTTGAAGCCCCATGAGCCAGGGACTCTATCCATCTTGTCCACTCCTACATCCCCAGCACTTGTCACTACCTTATACAAAATGAGTACTCCATAAATCTCTGGTAAACATTGATTGGATGCTCTACTAGAAAGGGAGAAGCTGTTCTGGAAAATTTTGAGAAGAATGTAGACACATGCCTACATTGTCATTGAATAAAATGTGGTACTGGCTCAAAGAGTAAAAGGATGTTAGGATTCATCAAAAGACAACTACAAAAAAGTTCTCTTGATATTGAATCGAGGCCATAGGGAGACTCTTCTGTAGCCTAGGAATCCTATGATAAAGATTCCCTTAAAAGTTCAAGGCCATATTATTGCACAAGACTAGAATTTTTCTCAGTAAGAAACTAAAGAACTCAACTATTTTAGACAGACACTTGATTGAGAAAAATGACGGCCTTGATCATAAGTATCCCTGTAACCACCTCTATGTGGGATATTTCAAAACACAAGCCAAGGTCTGAACTATTATCTGAGGCCTGTAGCTTCAATCAACAATACAGTGTATCTCCATTCCAAGTACTAGCCAAAGAAGTCAGTACGAAAGACTGCCATTCAATCCTATCAAAGTACAGTCAACAAAACTTATTTGAAAAAAACAGTTTAATACTAACCATACATTCCTCCACACTTTTTCAGCTCTAACCCTGCATAGTTAGATCACCAGAAAGCACCATAACATTGGTTTAGTTTCCCACTAAAATGTTTTTACTGGTTTATATTTAAAGTTATATCCTCAATTTCTAGGGGTCAATATAAGAAAGAGCCATGTGAACAATGTTTTGGTATCTTCTGCAAAACTCCTCTTGAAGACAATGCTTATCCTCATTCTGAGTTCTTATTGTTCAGATTTACACGACAAGTTTTTCTTGGACTGAGAACCAGAAAAGGATTCTCTCCTCAACAACTGTTATGCTGCTTTTTACCAGACGAAAACTATAATAATTGGTGTGTTTCTTTTTGGAATTTAGTTCAAGTATACTGGTGCTTGAAAACAGTACTAAATTTTAATGCTCAAGTACAACTATTATCTTAACCTTGGTTTTCAGGTAGAATTTTCTCCCTATTCCATCTTTATGGTTTCTGATCTGAGTTTAACATTTCTTTTGTATATATGTCCTCACTACAAACTACCTCGAATCCTTGGAATTAGATGGGGTATCAATAACAAAAAAATGAAACAGGATCCAAACCCTGCCTTAAGAGTAGAACCAGAGGGCCGGCCCTGTGGCTTAACGGTTAAGTGCGCGCGCTCCGATGCAGGCGGCCCGGGTTCAGATCCCGGGCGCGCACAGACCCACTGCTTCTCCGGCCATGCTGAGGCCGCGTCCCACATACAGCAACTAGAAAATGTGCAACTATGACATACAACTATCTACTGGGGCTTTGGGGGAAAAAAAAAAAAAAAAAAAAATTATTAAAAAAAAAAAAAAAAAGAGTAGAACCAGAAACTCTTTCAATCTATCCCTAGGATTTATCAAGAGGGACATTAGAGAGCAGGAGAGAAATCCAACAGTTTGCCTGATCAATGCTCTTTGTCTTGGTGACCAAACTATTCATTCCATCTAGGACACCAGTGATCATACTTCTCAACTGAGAGACAGCTGAGGCAATAATTAGGAACTAACATTTGTCCATGGGTATTTTTCCTCCTCTTCCTCTCTCTTCATTATTGTTCCTTTTTAACTTCTTACTTGGTTTTACCTCAGGCCTGTTGGGAACGCTCAGGTACAAAGAGAGTGGCAGTGGAGCTAAAGAAGTGCTGCCTGTTTGTCAGACGATACAGCTCCTCAGCCACTGCACTGCTTGTGTCCTGCAGCTCACAAAGAACAGTCACAGGAGACACATTTAGAGCTGCAGTGTTCACTGAACACTGTGCATAATTCATTCAGAATCCATACAGCTCCATGAGCCTTTAGCCTAAGAATTGAAATCAAAGTTCTCTTTCTGGTCAGGTAACATCCCTTAAACTCAAAACCATGCCAAACTTTAAACCAAATATTCAACTACCCATTTCTTTAAAATATCTATATATTGCTACAGTTTTAGTTAAATTCCAATATAGCCACATTTATTTAACACCTCAATTTAAAAAGCCACCAAATTAAACTACAGCACATTATATACTAATCTACTCATTTCCGATGTTTTCCATTTTTAAATTTTAATTTGGGATCTTTACATCATAAAAGGTTCAAGTTAGAAATGCCATTATTTATTGACATTCTTTATAAGTATACCAAATACAAAGGCTGAAATCAAAGATCAAGATAAGGGGAAAAAAAAGTTAGATGATATATTTTACTCACCAGGGCTTTATTATCTTTTTTTACTTAAGGAGACAGTTTCTTCCTTTTAGAAAAACAAGGCACTTCTAACCAACGCAAACAACCAATTCTAATTCTCACCCTTCTTCTCAGAAGTAAACTAATTTTGCACTACATACTTTTTAAACAAGTGTGTATGGCAGAGGGGAAGGTGGGAGGAAAGGGTTGGGGAGGCTTGCTTTACTTGCTGGTTTCAAATCTTTCCAGCTTTCTGAAAAGAGCATTCTCAAAAAAATTTTTGCCTGTACTGCAGATTTTTGGCAGGGTAAAGCTGTCCTATTTCAAAAGCTTTGCTGAATTTGAAAAACTACAATTACTGTTTTCATCTTGTCATGTCAAAAATTCTTAGGAACCATTAAGGCTGCTCTTCATTTCCTATGCACACCAACCCTGACACGCTTAAAGGGCTCAGATTTGGCATTTAGTCATAAAAGGCACCAAGAGACATAAAAGAGAGAAACTCAGCTAAATCCTCACAGAGCTCAGGATAAAGCCTCAGTGATTAAAAACCTGTGACCTGATTTTCATAAGGTAAAAAAAACCAAATATTTCTCTAAACAAATATTTTATCTACCTTTAAGCTTCTTCTTAGCAGGATTATCTAATGGCAGCCAAAAAAATGCAGCTGTTTTCAGTTTCATTTAGGAAAAAATAATCTCAAAATAAGGTATTGGAACTGATTCTTAAACCAGGTAAAATTGCTCTGCTTTGTAAGGTAAAGCATAAAGTTTTATTTTATGCAAGGAAAATTATAAATATCTAATTACAAACACCAAATTATTTTGAATTTAGGTAAGATTCACAGAATACAGTTATGTCCATCACTGAGCACAGAACAAGACAAAGAAGTATTTTTCACTGTTTAAGATTCAGAAAGAATAGGCAGACTGCAAGCCTAATCAGCTTACAATTTTGCTCAAGAAAAACATCTTGTCTTTGGGGCCGGCCCAGTGGCGTAGTGGTTAAGCGCACGCACTCCGCTGCAGCGGCCTGGAGTTTGGATCCCGGGCATGCACCAACGCACCGCTTGTCAACCCATGCTGTGGCGGCATCCCACATAAAAGTAGAGAAAGATGGGCATGGATGTTAGCCCAGGGCCAATCTTCCTCAGCAAAAAGAGGAGGATCGGCAACAGATGTTAGCTCAGGGCTAATCCTCCTCACCAAAAAAAAGAAAAAAATCTTGTCTTCAAAATAATTAATGAAAAAAGAGAACTGGCCCACAAATAAGTCATCATATTACACAGTTTCACATACAATATAACTAAAAAAAAATTCTAAATCCTTTTGCCTTCTTTTACCCAATGAACCAGGCAACATTTCTATAAGGCCATGTCATAACAGTATAGGATCTGTATATTATAGGTGAGTAAAAACAAAACTATTCAAGTGAGTCAGTTTTCAAATTTCTCTTGTTCTTCATCAATCTTAGATAAAAGGAGTAAAGGGAGAAGGGGGAAGAGATGATTCTTTGAAATAAAGCTGTTAGGTCAGATGTATGTGTAAACTAAAATTTTACAGTAAAAAGAATAACAACTCTGCCCCTAGAACAGCAATGTTTGTTTTCCCTGAGCCAAAACAGATTGCTTGGACAGTTTTTGGTATCCTTACTGACTCAAACAAAATTACCTGTATTAAAAAAAGAAAATTAAAGTCTGCATTTCTGAAATACAATGAAGACTTTCCTAGGGAATCATGTTATAATGTCTGAGTTACTGGGGTAAGCAGGGTAACAGCCCTCCAAAGATGCCCACGTCCTGCTCTCTGGAATTTGTATACATGCTACCTTGCGTGCCAAAGAGACTTTTGCAGATGTGATTAAAGTTAAGGAGTATGAGGTAGGGAGATTATCCTGGATTATCTTGGGGGAGGCGGGGTGGCTCAATCAATCATGCAGTCCTTAAGCAGAGAACCTGTCCCCGCTGTGGCCAGAGAGAGGGATGTGACAACAGATTAAGGGTCAGAGAGATGCAGCATTGCTAGTGTTGAAGAAGGGGACCACTAGCCAAGGAATGTGGGTGGCCTCTAGAAGCTGGACTTGAAAGGCAAGGAAATGGATTCTCCCCTAGAGCCTCCAGAAAGGAACACAACCCTGCTGACACCTTGATTTTAGCCCAGTGAATCCATGTCAGACTTCTGCCCCACAGAACTATGAGACAATAAATTTGCATTGTTTTAAGCCACTACGCTTGTAGTAACATGTTACAGCAGCACAGAAAACTAATACAGTAGCCTATACACTTCAATAGACATGAAGAGAATTTCCGCTTAGAGAAAATAATGGGATGTTCTGTTAAAGAACAAATTTTCTCAACTGAACTAATATAATTTAAGATAGAGTCTTTCCATACAAATGTGTAAATACATGCTTTAAATCCATTTTAAATCTTTCAGACAATGATCCAATGTTATGTGTTATATACGGGTGAGTCAACACACCTTGTTCCCATGTCATCCAGTTCCCTAGTCTAAAAACAAGTCTGCAACACCAAAAAGAAGCCAGTACTGGGTGACCACCCTTCCCCACTCCTGTGAATTACTCACTCAATGAATTCCTCTTTACACTGCTGTAGCATCTCACATGTCTGCTGGATCTCTTGCTCACTCAAAAGCACCAACATCCCAATAGTTAGGTGAAGCTTTTTGGGATTCTGGAAAATGGTGCTATCAACTCCATGATCCTGTTATCAAAGGGAGAAAAACAAAAAACTCAGCCTATACAAAAGTAAATGGTAGGAATAGAACTGAGAGTCCAGAAATAAACCCACACATCTATGACTAACTGATTTTCAACCAGGGTGCCAAGACAACTTAACGCAGAAAGAAGCGTCTCTTCAACAAACAACGCTGGGACAACTGAATATCCACATGCAAAAGAATGAAGTTGGACCCTTCACCTCATACTATATATAAAAATTATATCAAAATGGATCAATGACATAAATATAAGAGCTAAAACCATAAAACTCTTCAAACAAAAATAGGCGAAAGTGTTTATGACCTTGGATTTGGCAATGGATTCTTAGGTATGACACTTATAGTATGGGCAACAAAAGAAAAACAGATAAATTAGACTTCATCAAAATTAAAAACTTTTGGGGTCAGCCTGGTGGTGTAGTGGTTAAGTTCACACGCTCTGCTTTGGCAGCCCAGGGTTCGCTGGTTCAGATCCTGGGGGCAGACCTACTGACCGCTCATCAAGCCAAGCTGAGGCAGTGTCCCACATAGAGGAACTAGAAAGACCTACAACTGGGGTATATGTACTGGGCCTTTGGGGAGAAAAAAGAAAAAGAGGAAGATTGGCAACAGATGTTAGCTCAGGGCCAATCGTCCTCAAAAAAGGAAGATAGTGCTTTTCCTTAAGAAAAAAAATTAAGAACTTTTGTGTATCAAAGGGCACTATCAAGAACGTGAAAAGAGGGCCAGCCCTGTGGCTTGGTGGTTGAGTGCGCGCGCTGCGATGCTGGCGGCCCGGGTTCGGATCCCGGGTGCGCATCGAGGCACCACTTCTCTGTCCAGCCTGAGGCCGAGTCCCACATACAGCAACTAGAGGGGTGTGCAGCTGTGACATGCAACTATCTACTGGGGCTTTGGGGGCAAAAAAAAAAAAAAATTTTTAAAAAAAAAAAAAAAAAAAAGAACGTGAAAAGACAATCTACAGAATGGGAGAAATATTTGCAAACCATATATCTGACAAGGGTCTAGTATCCATAATATATAAAGAATACTTACAACTCAACAAATAAGAACCCAATTTAAAAAATAGAAAAAAAACTTGAGTAGACATTTCTCCAAAGAAGAAATACAAATGTCTAACAAGCACTTGAAGATGTTCAATCTCATTAGTCATTTAGGGGACTGCAAATGAAAACCACAATGAGGTACCATTTCACACCCATTAGGCTGGCTATAATCAAAAAAGTAGGAAATAAGTGTTGTGAGGATGTGCTTAACAGGTACTGGATTTTCCTTTTGGGGTGATGAAAGTATTTTGGAATGATATAGAGCTGGTAGTTACACAACTGCAAATGCACTAAATACCACTGAATCATTCATTTCAAAATGGTTAATTTTATGTTACATGAATTTCACCTTGATAAAAAAATTTTTTTAAAAAAGGAACTGGTAGCTTGACAGAATGGTGTGCCCAGGAAAAACAGAACGCCATCTAAATGTAGGTTCTAAAAATATCCTTTTGTTCATTATCAGCTTTATTAGTTCCAGAGCAACTGGGCCGCTTATGGGCTTCCCCAAAGAATAATATACTCTTTATAAAAAAAACACTGTTTCTATTTTAGCAGACACTGCAGTATTTTCAGGCAAAATATTGTGTGTTAAGAATAAATTCTCCCATGCAAAGAAATGAGTGAAAAATTAATTTGGAGAGATATCCAGACACGGGAGTTGCCACATCAAATATGGTCATCCTTTTCTTGCACCATCAGTCTTTGCACTTTAAAACTTTTGTCTCTGGGAAGCAGAAAAGGTAAATATACTGATGAATCCCCTAAAAAAACTGATGTGAAATTCACTTAACATGCAATTAATCCTTTTAAAGTGTACAATTCAGTGGTATTTAGTGTATTCACAATGTTGCACAACCACCAGCTCTCTCTAGTTTCAAAATTTTTCCATTACCTGATAAAAACATCCCATACCCATTAAATAATCACTCCCCATTTCCCCTCCCCTGGTAATCTCTAATTTGCTTTCTGTCTCTTTGTATTTTGCCTATTCTGGAAATAGCATGTAAAGGAATCATATAATATACGACCTTTGTGCCTGGTTTTTTCACTTAGCATGTTCTCGAACTCCATTCAAGTTGTAGCATATATTGGTACTTCATTCCTTTCTACGCCTGAATAATATTCTATTGTATGTATATAACACAATTTGTTTATCCATTCAACCCCTGATGGCCATTTGGGTTGTTTCCATCTTTTGGCTATTGTGAATAATGCTGCTATAACAACATTCCTGGGGGCTGGCCCCGTGGCTTAGCAGTTAAGTGCGCGAGCTCCGATACCGGTGGCCCGGGTTCGGATCCCAGGCGCACACCGACGCACCGCTTCTCTGGCCATGCTGAGGCCACGTCCCACATACAGCAACTAGAAGGATGTGCAACTATGACATACAACTATTTACTGGGGCTTTGGGGGAAAAAAGGAGGAGGATTGGCAATAGATGTTAGCTCAGAGCCGGTCTTCCTCAGCACAAAGAGGAGGATTAGCATGGATGTTAGCTCAGGGCTGATCTTCCTCATAAATCAATCAATCAATCAATCAATCAATCAATCAATAAAACATTCCTGTACAAGTTTCTGTGTTGACATATGTTTTCAATTCTTTTGAACATATACCTAGGAGTGGAATTGCTGGGTCATATGGTAATTGTATATTTTACTTTTTGAGGAACCATCAAACTGTTTTCCACAGCAGCTAAACCATTTTACATTCCTAGCAGCAATGTACCAAGGTTATTTCTCCACCCATTCATCAACACTTAATATTTTCCTTTATTTATTTTATTATAGCCATCCTAGTAGGCATGAAGTGGTATCTCATTGTGGTTTTGATTTGCATTTCCCCGTTGAACATCTTTTCATGTCCTTATTGGACATTTGCACGTCTCCTTTGCAGAAATGCCTATTCAAATCCTTTGCCCATTTTCTTCTTATTGTTGAGTTGTAAGAATTCTTTACATGATAATCCCACATCAGATCATGAATCCTTTTTGAAGGTAAGTAGGTCTCAAATTTCATTAAACTCATTCTGCGAATGAAGACAAGAAAAAAAGTTGAGAATCTTCTCCACCAACAGGAGCAAAGCAGGAATTCTATCTTTGAATTGCAAGTTCTTATCCCATAATCTGATCGCTGGACTAATTTATTTATTTATCAAATGCAGATAGCCTATATCCTGTTCTTGGTTTGTCTAAGACTGCCTAATTTTTGCCTTGGCAACAGGAGTTAATAGAGTATTCATTCTCTAAGTGATAATAGAGCTTGAGCTATTTTTACATCTATGAAGAGTTTTGTGGTTCTACACATCAACCAAAATTGCCTCATTTAATGAAAGTGATTTTAAGGAACAATCAGCTTTAAATGTGTCAAGGAAGGCTAAGTGCAATGCTTAGCACCCCAGCTGTTCTAACCCACAGCAGAACCTGCCACTTTAGAAAGTCATGCAAAATGTTAAAAAGCCCCCCCAAATGATTCCAATATGCACAACTCCATCCCAAACTAAGCTGAGAAGTGCTTCCTTAATGATAAGAGCTAATATTATTTTTGAGCCCTTACTCTGCTGTAGGCATTTCCTAAGCACTTTATATAGACAAATACCCTATGAGAGAACTATTATTATCCACATTTTACAGATGAGGAAACAGACACAGAGAAATAAAGCCATTTTTCCAAAGTAACACTGCTAGGAAGGGATGAAGCTAAAATTCAAATTCAGGCAGTCAGGCCCCAAAGCCTGTACTTCTGATCACTATTATATTGATACATCAAAAGCATGATCCAAAAAAGAAGAAAAAAAGGATTAATTTAACTTGATCAAAATTAAAAACTTGTGCTTCAAAAGACACCATTAAGAAAATGAAAAAACAAGCCTCAGAGAAAAATATTTGAAAAAAAAATATTTGCAAATCATATATCTGATAAATATATTTCTTCAATTCTTTAAAGTCAATAATAAGAAGATATACAATCCAATTTAAAAATTAGCAAAGGATTTGAATAGACATTTCACCAAAGAAGATGTTAGTGCCGTCAAGTTGATTCCAATTCCTAGCAACGCTGTGTACAGCAGAACGAAATCCTGCCCAGTCTTTTTGCACCATCCTCTCACCTTCCGGCACTACATCAGACAATGCTCTGCTGCTCTTCATATGGTTTACATGGCCAACTTTTTCAGAAATGGGTTGCCAGGTCCTTCTTCCTCATCTGTCTTAGTCTAGAAGCTCTGCTGAAACCTGTCCACCATGGGTGACCCTGTTAGTATTTGAAATACCAGGGACATAGCTTTCAGCATCACAGGAACACGCACCCGCCACAGTATGACAACCAACAGATGGGTAGTGTGGTTGTCTGGCTGGGAAACGAACCTGGGCCATGGCAGTGAGAGCACTGAATCTTAACCACTAGACCACCAGTGCTGGCTCAAAGAGGATATACTATTGGCTAATAAACATAGGAAAAGATGCTCAACATCATTAGTCATTTAGGAACTGCAAATCAAAACCAAAATGAGATATCACTTCACATCCACCAGAATGACTATACTCAAAAAGACAGACAATAACAACTGTTGGTGAGGATATGGAGAAAGTGAACTGCTCATACACTGCTAGGGGAAATGTAAAATGGCACAGCCACTTTGGAAAACAATTTAACTTTTTTAACTCAGAAAGTTAAACATGAATTTTCAATACAACCCAGTCATTTCACTCCTAGGATTCTACTCAAGAGAAATGAAAACATAGGTCTACATAAACTCTTGTAAGCAAACTTCACAGCAGTATTATTTATATTAGCCAAAAAGTGGAAACATGCGGCCCGGGTTCGGATCCTGGGCGCGCACCGACGCGCCACTTCTCTGGCCGTGCTGAGGGCGCGTCCCACATACAGCAACTAGAAGGCTGTGCAACTATGACATACAACTATCTGCTGGGGCTTTGG